CAGTGTGTAGTTTGATTATTTTTGGCCGCGGCATAACGGCTCATAGTAAGGCTCAGAGTTGTTGTTGTTTTCAAGTACAAACTTTTAGCTCATAGCTCCGTCATCTCTTGACCGATTTCAGATCTAATTACAGTTTCGGTCAAACCCTTTCGATTGATGTATTTGACCACACCCAAAGTTTCGTAGATTAATTTACTCTAATCCTGCCTAAAATAATTTCAATTTGAGGGAAGACTGATAAGAGATCCTGATGAGTAATAAACTTGAATCGGGTATACGCGTGAGCCCAACAGTTGGTATTGTTGGCGCACAAAAATATAGCTAATAAAAAATTGAAACAAAGGTCTCATAGATTAATTTACTCTAATCCTGCCTAAAAGAATTTCAAGTGCCGCAGCTGTTGAGGATTCCCTCTGATGTGACGGTATTTTTTTAAATTCAAATGTATGTAAAAGTACATATCACGCTACTTCCTAGAACAATTAAATTTTAAGTCCTTGATAAAGCATATATACATATGTATATGTAGAAACGATCACTATAATTTTAGGCCTACGTTGGGGAGCGAAACAAAAAAACTGAGAACGAGAGTACAGTTCTACATACAACAATCTGTATCTACTGAATCGTTATGAATAATTTATTTTCCCCCCAATAGAATTTCTGTTTCTATTCCGTTCAGGTAAGTTATATGTGTATACTGTTCTTTTTTTTTTTAACCGTACAAAGCGAAACGTTCGATTTAAACTTTTTTCCAGGTAAGAACAACATCGAAACTGTTACACTTATTATTCACTTTTGTTTGTTAAGCACGAAGCTGCACAGTGGGTTATCTGTACTGTGCCCACCACGGGTATTGAAACCCGATTTTTAACGTTATAAGCCACGGGGGGTGGGATGTGGGAGCTATTGTTCATTAAACAGAAATCTTGTATCCTTATTTCACTCGACCATTTGCCCCCCCCCCTCCGAATATAAGCATTTAAAATTACTACTTTTAGCTTAATGTCTTGAATATGCGTCATGAGCACCAGAACCAATCAATACATTTCAAACACAGGGTAGGAGGCGAAAAGGACTGGTTTATAAGAGCGTTGGAGTGAGAGTTCCAGGGGCTGTCGTTGTCAGATCTGAAAGATTGGAACAAGAAACGCGTGTTGGTGGGTGTGTTTGAATTAGTGACAGAACCAGTTGTCGATCTCAAACTAAGAAAACGCAGATTTTTCTTAATTTTGTACTAATGGTAAATTTTTAAGTAGAGAAATGGCAACTTCTACAAAACAGGTCGCTCGAACGGTGCACGATATCCCACGCACACTACCACAATATTACCCATTATTTTCAAGTTGAAATTTTTACAAAATATAATAGCATAAAACAAAAAGTTTCATGTGTAAGTTCTAGAAAAAATAGAAAGTTGGTAATGTATAGATGGAAGGAGAGAGAAAGAAAGATGGTACTGTATAGATACAAGAAGAGAGAAAGATGGTACTGTATAGATACAAGAAGAGAGAAAGATGGTACTGTATAGGAACAAGAAGAGAGAGAGAAAGATGGTACTGTATAGATACAAGAAGAGAGAAAGATGGTACTGTATAGATACAAGAAGAGAGAAAGATGGTACTGTATAGGAACAAGAAGAGAGAGAGAAAGATGGTACAGTATAGATACAAGAAGAGAGAGAGGAAGGAGGGTATTGTATAGATGGAAGGAGAGAGGCTATACAGTACCATCTTTAACAAGAAGAGAGAAAGATGGTACTGTATATATACAAGAAGAGAGAGAGAAAGATGGTACTTTATAGATTCAGGAAGAGACATAAATGTTATACCGAGTACAACCAGGAAGGATTTGTTTGTTGAAGTTCGTACAAAGCAACTCAAAGTCTACCTGCACTAACCGTCCCTAATTTAGAAGTGATAGTCTAAGAGAAAGGCAGATATCCAACACCACACACCGCCAAATCTTGGCCTACCCTAATGGAATAGTAGGATTGACCATCACATTACAAAGCTCCCACGACTGAAAGGGCGAGCCTATTCAGTGATGGAATTCGAAACCGCGAAACTAAAGATTGCGAGTCAAGTACCTTAACTTCCAGCCCACCTGGAAGAAACAGAAAAATGGAGTATGTACAAACTGGAGGAAATAAAGAAATGGTGCTGTGG